CCCTGCCCGGACCTCCTCCCGCCGTTTCGCGAACCGGTGCTGGTGGTGGTGGTGGAGTGCGGCTCGGGTGGGCTCGCTTTCAGTAGCCGGCGACGAGCTGCAGGTGCCGACCGTCCGCTGTCGGTCTCAGATAGGTTAATGATAGTGACGTGAAAACTGCAGCAACCGGGCTGACTCCGTGACCTGCGGTAAGTTTCTCGGTCCGTTAAATTAGACAGTCGGTAGCATCGCCTTTGGTCGAGTTGAAACATAAGCTCTGTTCACTTTGCATTAGGCAAGTTCGCAAGTGAATACGGTTATAAAAGGGTCTTGCGGTTCTGTGTCATGAGGCTGGCGCAGTTGTTTCTGCCCCGCTGTGACAGCATGGCACACGCCGGGCTGGTGATGCCACCGCCGGCCTGCGGCCACTGCGGCGAGGCCGTGTGAAGGCGGGCTGCGGGCTCCCCACGACAAGTGTTAGTGTTCTGGCAGGCAGGACGTGTGGCCGCAGCGCTGGCGCTCTGCTACCTGAAGTTTCCTTTTCAGCGAATGCAGACTGGTACATGCCTGAGAATTAGATCACACCCTGGTGACGGTCCTCTCGATTAACTGGAGAGGTGGTATTTTAGACCCCTAACTGCAACTCTGCATGTTGTACTTGAGTTAATGTTTTGAATCTCTGTTTCCTGGATTTTTTTTTTAGGACTTCATTTGGTCTTTTGCTGTTGATGTTCTTTACTTTAGGACTTCATCCTGCCCTGTACTACCTGCACGTATAAACAGAATATGCATGACAGCATATGAAACACAGAAGCAGAAGAATAAAGATGTCAAGAACATAGAAGCAGAAGCTTCCAGGTGTAGCGCTGTATTCTTGTTGCATGTCATCTTCAGCTACAAGTACTTACCAATGCCATTAAATAATCCTCTCATACAAACATATAAAGTAGAGCTGTGTTTAAAGGATTCTTTCCACTTTCATTCTCTAGCTTTTTAAATGAAAGCATAGTAGTGGTATGAACATGTGCCAGATTGAGAGCAGAGTATGCCTTTGTGAAATTGCTGTGCAGTTTACTTGGGTTGTAAATATTTTTCATATTTCTTCATGAAATATTGAAAAACTGGTGCTCTGTAGTTTTGTTTCTGCAAGATTTACAGAAATGCAGCTAGTGTCTCATGGGTTCTGCTGTGAGCATCAACCGTAGATGAAGGACAAGTTGTTCCACTTTAGACATGTCATCAAAACAAACTAGGGCAGTTTGTGTGGAGGAAGAAAATGGAATGAAATTTTTTGCTCTCAGTGGCAAGACTTTGACTTTCAAAGAACTCTTAACTAGTTTTCCATAGTCCTTTATAGTTATAATATAATTAGTTAACTCCCACAATACCCTTCCAGTGTAGATGGGAAGTTATATGCAGCCGTTGTTTTCCTTCATCTGCTCCGACTCAGCCCTTTAGGCAGGGGTACAGCATGAGTCTCAGCTTAACGTATTCTCTTGTGTGGGCTTCAGCCTGCTATCTCACATGGTGTGCTGCAACCGTGGTTCCTAATTTATTTTTTTTAGGCTTCACAGAATTAGCATTTATCTGAAGTTCATCCTTTGCT